GAGATGAGCTAAATAGAGAAAATGAGTAGAACTTGAGTTAGGATTAATGACCTCCTAAAAGAGTCTTTCTAAATCCCTTCTAGCACAAAAGGGATTTAACGAAAGGGAACCATCAATGAATCAGGAATGTTCCTTCAATAGACACCACCTCTGATGGCACCTTAATCTTGTGTCAGCCTCCAGAAATCTAAAAAACAAGTTACTACAGTTTGTAATCTACCTAGTCTGTGGGGTTTTGTTGTAGTAACTCAAAATGGCCAAGGTAACTTGATTGTCTGTCTCTTTTATTTCTTGGAGAATTCTTCAATGTTTGCTGCCAATTCATACCTCCAAGCCCCACATTGTAGACATCACCACTTATTATCTATAACTGCTCACTCCTTTTCTTGTTTGTTTGTTTTTGTTTTTCTTGTTTAAACCAAAGCTGGTTACTTCAAGGATTGGGAACCACAAAGCTTGCTAAAGCACACACTCTCCCCAGTCCCCTAACAAAGTGTTCACTCTTGCTCTTTTCTAAGACTCCAGCACCAAAGAGCTTGAAAGAAGTCCATACCTGTGACACCCCACAGCCTCTTCTTGGTGGCAATTCCTCCTCCTTCAAGTATTCCCCTCTTGTTTTCTGAAACCACCACTCTTGGGAGACCACCCCTGCTATTCCCTGCTCTTTCTCTCTGTCACTTTCTCTGACCTTTCGTTTGTTCATATATTGTATAAGATAGTTTTCAAGAATTTCTCCTCACCTCATTGCATATGCTTCCAAACTCTTCTAAACCATGGTCCAACTGTATCTCTCTAGCTGCAGCACTCTACCTCAACCCCATTTCGAGTTTCCTATTATTCATAGCAATCATCTGTGTCAACATTTTTAAAATAAAACTATTTAATAGTGTCTCACAGTGTCCTTCACTCCTAAACTGTCTCTTCAATTTTGAAGTAAACAAAATATCAGTGAGACATTTTCAATTCTAACGTGAAACTCAGTAGGTTTGAACAGTAAGCAAAGTGTATTATTTTATAGAATGGGCCTGTGGGAAATAGCCCAGCCCATTTATTAGTCAGTCCTGAAGACAAAGGATATCAAGCAAATTTCTGCTTTTTTCTATTTTTGCTTCTTGCTGTTTTCAATCCATGGTTTGATCCCTATGCTAGCAGCTATGCAAGTTCCAGGGACCATGGTGTCCCCCCAGAAGAAGGTAGGGGCTATTTCTTTTCCTGTGCCTCTTCTCATCCACAATGTAAAACTTTTTATGGAGCCTCCTCCTCTCAGTCCATTGACCAGAGTCGTGTCACATGTGCTTTCCAAAATCATGTCCTAGAAAATGGACATGGGAGAACCACGGTGACAAGCCCGACTGCCTTGCAACATGCAATTGCCTTGAAAAAGGTGTGTGTCGGAGCAGAGCCAGGGTTCTGCTAAAAAGGGAGAATGGCTGATTTGATTATGATTAGATTTGATTAGTACGAATAAAGCTCCAAATCATATTTAAATGTGTAAAGGAATCCAGTGGCAGACAAGCCAGTGTAGCTGGTACTAGCTCCAAGAAGAAAAGAGAATTCTATATTCATTCCAAGCTTTCTGGCCCTCTGGACAAGCCTTCCACACCACAGTCCAGCCATTGTAGTTACTGTGTTAGAAAGCAAGACTAAGGATGTAAACCCTGCCTCTCTTTATGTCTGTAAAAAATCTTTATTGTTTTAGATTTTGTTCATTTATTAACTTGCATGCAAAGAAACATGATTTATTATGGCATTTTCTATATATTTTTTGTTGTTGATTTCTACCCCCAAATCCCTTGCTCTGTCCTCCTGCCTACCTCTTGCTGATCCCCTTACTCTCTCAAGTATCCCCACTTCCTGCTTTTGTGTCACATATATTCTACAAGTATTTTCTTCCCTCTCCTGGCCCCTTTCTAGTTTCATTATCCATACACACTGATACACATCACCATGATAGAGGGTCTGAATGTAAGAGATACCATTTGGCTTATTTCACTTAACATAACAATCTCCAGTTCTTCCCATTTGTCTGCAGATGTCATGATTTCATTCTTCTTTATGGCTGAATAAAATTCCATTGTGCCTATGAACCACATTTTTCCTGTCTGCTGATGGTTGTCTAGCATGTTCCTATTTCTTTTCTACTGTGGATAGTGAAGCAATAAACATCAGGGGCAAATACCACTGTGGTACGTTGGCTTAGTGTTGCTCGGGTCTGTAACCAGAAGTGACATAGCTGGGCCCTACGGTAGTCCCAGTTTTAGTTCTGTGTGCTGGCTAGTTTTATGTCAACTTGACACAAGATAAAGTTATCTGAAAGGAGCGAACCTTAGTTGAGGCGATGCCTCTGTAAGATCACGCTGTAAGGCGTTTTCTAAATTAGCAATTGATGTGGGAGGGCCCATCCTATTGTGGGTGGTGCCATTCCTGAACTGTTGGTCCTGAGTTCTATAAGAAGGTGGGTTGAATCAATAAAGGGAGCCATTATAGGTTTAAAGAGAAATCTGGCACTAGGGAAATGTCCAGGGATCCACAAGGATAACCCCAACTAGGAATCTATGCAATAGTGGAGAAGCTACCTTAAATGCCCTTCCTCTATGATGAGAATGATGACTACCTTAAATGCCATCCTAACACCTTCATCCAGTAGCTGATGGAGCAGAAGAGAAGCAGAGATCCACAGCTAAGAACTGAGCCAAACTCCTGGAATCCAGTTGCAGAGAGCTAGGAGTGGAGAACAAAGGGGTCAAGACCATGCTGGGAAAACCCACAGAAGCAGCTGACCTGAGCAAGAGGGAACTCGTTGGACCCAGTCTGACAGCCTGGGAACCAACATAGGACCAAACCATGCCCACTGAACTTGGGTATCAGCTAGAAGGCCAGGGCAGTCTATGGGGCCTCTGGCAGTAGAACCAGGATGCATCCCTAGTGTATGAATGGACTTTAGGAGCCCATTCCCCATGGAGGGATACTCTCTTAGCCTAGATACATTGAGGAGGGCCTATGCCCTGCCCCAAATGACTTGACAGATTTTGATGATCCATCATGGAAGGCCTCACCCTCCCTGGGGAGTGGACGGGACAATGGGATGGGGCATTGTTGGGGGGCATGGGAGGATGAGAAGGAGAGGGAACTGGGATTGATATGTAAAATAAGATTGTTTCTAATTTAAATAAAATTTATTTAAAATTTTTTTAAAAGTTGAATAAGCCATGAGGAGCAAGCCAGTAAGCAGCACTCCTCCATGGCCTCTGCATCAGCTCTGCCTCTAGGTTCCTGCCCTGTTTGATTTCCTGTCCTGACTTCCTTCAACAATGAACTGTAATGCAGAAGTGTAAGCCAAATAAACCGTTTCCTCAATTTGTTTTTTGACAATGGGGTTTTGTCTCAGCAATAGAAACCCTAACTAGGACATTCTGTGAGAAATCTTCACCCTGATTTCCACCGTGTACACCGATTTACACCTCAGTAGCAGTGAATAAGGGTTTGTTCCTCCCCACATCCTTACCAGTCTCTGTTTTAATACTTTCTTAATGTCTCAGGCAAGATTTCTACAAAAGAGGCTGGTCAGTGTCATTTCCAGTTTGTTAGGGGCTTTGATACCTGGGAAAATGTCCATTGGGAGGCAACAATCTCATGTCCTATGTGGCATATGATGGTGTCCGTAGAGTCAGCCAAGAGGGTCTTCACTATCACTATACCATCGGACCCTGAGCCTTGAAGCCAGAAACCAGTGGTCTAAGGTTGTTTCCTCATATCAACTGGCATATTCAACAGGACATGGAGCCCTGATTAGTTAGTGTGAAAAACACTTAGCAAGCTGCCAGCTGCTTCCGCCCACCCAGCACCCACTGTTGACCGGATCAAATGTTGCCTGGATGCTGTACTAGCTCTCCTTCAGTTTCTCCTCATCTTCACACACATCACACTTCAGTCCTGTCTTCACCTAACCTTTACTCTCTTTCTTAAAGACAACTTTGATCTATAGAGACAACAACAGCAGCAGAATACAATTAACTTGCCGGGCATGCCAGTCAAAATGCTTGCTAACTGATCTCTGACAACCCCTCACTCCCCTGTATGCTCTAGCCACTCAGACCAAATCTTTTTAGACTCGCCCACACGAAAGTCTGAATTTCGTGGTTTATGCTTTGATAATATATTGTCAGATGCTGTTAACATCATTTCTACTTGCTCCAAAAGCTGCCTAATGCCTTCAGCCAGTGATATTTCATTGTACTTTCCTACATTGTGTCTATTCTGAGATACGCATGCCTTATTCCACTATGATTTTCTTTCTGTTATTTATGTGTATGGTCCGACAAACAGTTTGAACTTGTGATAGCCAACTTAAGATAGGTGGGTTATATTACCTGTTAGATCTTAAAAAAGGAAGGAGAAATAACTCATGGACTTAAAAATGCAAGACTATTTCAATTGATCATGGAAAAACCAAATGTAGAAACTATTTAGTAACTAGGAATTAGTAAAAAAAAAAAGTCTTTTGGTACGTGAGATGCACCACAAATATTGCTGCAGAGAAGCTGATCCAGTCTCCATCATTTAAATTGGAAGATGTGTGAGTTGTGACCACAGCATGACTCTTAGAGTTAAAAAAAAAAGTAGCCAGAGCATGTTGCTGTAAATGTATTTCCCCAGTTTATGCAGCAAAAAAACATTAGAGTAATTAGTGTCTTCACTACCAGAAGCATATACTATGTCTGTGTACTTTAGACAGACAGAAACAGGTTCATTTATTTATTTGCTTATTTGTTTTTTAATTGAGTCACAGCCCCTTGTGGCCTAGGTTGGCCTGAAACTTGCTATACAGCTGAGGTTACCCTTAAACTGATCCTCATGCCTGCCCCTCCCATGTTCTGGGATTACAAGTGTGCACCACACCCACCTGTCTTAAAGTGGATTCATCACAAAGCTCCTCAGGCTTATGGGCCCCACCCATGCAGGTCCTCTCTCAGATTCACACACCGTGACTGTACATGTAACTGAAACTAACTTAAAAGCAGCAGAAAACTGGGAGTGGTGGTGTATTACTGGTAGGCAATCCAGAGATCCTAGTTGAACACTGATGAGTTTCCTGGTTATGAACCTTCTGCAAGTGATGCTTCAGGTTTGTGTTGTTTCTTTGTTTTGACCCCGCCACACTGGAACTGTCTGTCAGTCTTTCCTGGATGTTCATGACTTCAGTCTTTTGAAAACCACAAACCAAGTATCTTATAAAAAGCCTTTAAGTTTGAGTTCATCTGGTGTTTCCTCATCATTAAGCTCAACTAATCAATTTTGAATAGCCTCATTATATCTATACGCGTCTTTCCTTGGTCTTACTAGCTATGCTAACTTCGATCAAACCTGAGATGGTACTGAGAAACCAAGATGTTGGTATCACTGGTCCCAGGACATACAAAAGAATAAGTGTGCATATGCACACTTCTGTAATTTGTCTCCTACATGTGAGTTCATAATACTTGTGATTCCAGTTCAGCACAGTATAGCACTGTATAGTTCATTTTAGTTGTCTCCTTACCATATCATGACTCTGTGCTGAGACAGTGGGACCCTGGCTACTAAAATTTCAGTTTACCTACTCATTGGACCAATGTTTTCCTTCATGTAACCAGTCTTCAATCTCTCTATCACTACCTGCTATCCCCACCCCTATTGCATATGTGTACCCAGCCATGTATTGGCTTTTTCTTCTTGCCTTCCTTGCTATTTGATACCATATTCTGGGTAACCATTAGCAACATGTCCCATCTTATCTCATATTTACACTGTTTTTTTCCTAGTCTATCCCCTCACTCCATGGCCAATCTTGCCATAATTTTTAGTTTGGACAATCCACACATAATCATTTGGTCCCATTTGTGCTCTGTCTACCCCATGAGAGGACGATGCTATTACCCTCCTAGATACTACCCTTGCTTGTCCTAAGTTCTTGATTTGGGACTAATTTAATTAGGAAATATGGAAAGAGACATGAAGGTATGAAAGGAGGTACTTTTCAGTTTCATTAAAATAAGATCATTGCATTCCCATAAACTTATAAAGATGATTATATATATATATAAAATCATGAAATGCTTATATATATACATATATATATGTTGGTTGATAAAATATGTGGAAATTATTCTGGGAATAAAAAGTAAAATTTCATTCATAAGAGAACATAAGTGTTGAATACAATTAATAGGAAACATTTGAATGTTGTATGATGATGCAATTAAAAGAGTGAGGCACATGGGTCTAGTGGAAAAAATAGATTTCTTGCTGACTTAACAAAATAACCAACATTATGGAGGATAAAATAAAATCTATGATATGCCACTGTAATGAAAACATTAATGACAGCAGGCTAATGTTATAATTAATTCAGAGACAATTGAAGGTTAGCCTCTGCTTTAAAAAATACTAGAACTACAATGAAATCTCACTGCTCATACATAGAAGGTGATGGGTAGATATTTTCCAGACATTCTGTATACTCCAAAAATTTTGCACAATACTGCTAACAGCGAGCTGTGACATTAGAATATATTTTTCTAAATTGGTAGTAATGAAAGCAAAATTTTAACCAACCTAGCTATTGCCACATGAAGAGACTATGAATGAATATATCCCTCAAAAATATTTGGGGGCTGGGATTATAGAATTCCAATAGGCAGCTAATAAATGCAGTACCTAGTCATAGACTAGTATACAACTAGTTGTGCTAGTTAATGAAGTATCATTTTACTTCCCTGGAAGTGTGTGCATATCTTATTTGTAATAAGGTACAGAGATGGTCACATTCCACTCCGTTCCCCATGGGACAAAGGTTCATGGAGTCAAGACAGTGTTATTTGTGTGGGATTTGGTAAACACTTGTGTCCTGGTGGATTTATTAAAGAGCCGTAATGTTACACAACTCTGTGAAGCCACTGGATACACAGCTGTCAGTAACCAGAGATATCACGGTGCTGTCATTGTTCCCCACTTGCTTAGATTTCCAGGTCTTTTCCTGACCTCTTTTGTGTCTGTAACTCAACACTTACAGCAGATGCCTTTTGGTGGAGAAACACTTGTGTTTTCTAAAGCCGTTGTTAAGGTGTGGAGAGAAAGGAGTCTCCACCGTGCTCGGGAGGTGGGGGGAGGTGAGGGGAGTCTAACTTGTCTTTGTATTGTGCATGAAGGCATGGAATCCTTTTGATGAGGATTTCCTTTCATTTCCTGGTCTTATTATAACCATCTATTAACTTCCTTTCCCTCACAAAGGCAATAAGGTTTTTTTCTGCTTACTTTTCTTTTCTGTGTGACGTGTCCCGATTTCTCTCTGATGTTTAACATCTTTGCTCTATTTCTGTTTGAGCTCTCTTGCACTGCTTACCCACAATGCACATGTGACTGCAAAGTACTGCTCCAGGCCTGCCTGCTCTAATCCTCCTGTTTTCTTGACACTGGTTCATGTCCAGGCCTACATGCATAAATCCATTCATGTCTTAACACTGGCCTTTGATTCTTATTGTTTCCTAGGCTGGGATTGTCATCATGCCCAGGACTCATCTGCCCAACCCCTTCTGCAAAATTATCCGGGACCTCTCTCCCTTGTGTCTGAGCAATAGTCTTCTGATGATATGGATGTGATCTGTGTTTATTCAAATAGAGGTAGCCCCTTCTTTGCAAGTGGATTCCTTATTGTCTGATGCTTACACTAAGCGTTCATGTGCTGACATGTCAGTAAACTATAAACAAGTGTTTCCTGCGTATTAACCACTTTTAAGACATTGGGAGGACAAATGCATAGTAATTGGTCTTTGACCATCAAAAGATTTTTTTCTAGCATTTTAAAGTCACTGAAATAGAGGAGTATTGAATAGTATCCATTTTCTACTGTCCCCCAAGAGTTCTATCTGTAATTATAGAGCAATGGAAACTTAGAGGCATTTTATAATGTCCCCCTTCCAATGCTGCTCATGGGTCAGGTGGTACCATCAAATGGTCTCTAAGCATCATTAAAGGTTTGTAGGACAGACAGCTGGATAATGCAAATTTCCTAGAATTTTATCTACTTTAATTAGAAATACACTATTTCCCCCCTTGGAGGAAATGAAAAGTCTAGAGCAATGAAGACACACCATGGGCAAGATAAGTGGTACCAATGCCATAACCCCACTGAGTTCCAAGAGCGGCCAGGTCAACATGGGGCAGAAGTACACCACTGTTCCTTTCCAACCCTGCCCAGCTCCAGGCCCAGGTTCAGAGCTGTCAGAAAGAGCTGCAAACACTTGAAAGTGACCTTCACAGAGAATCTGACAGAGAAAAGCAGGGACAACAGACCCCAGCTTTAGAGAAACTGGCATTGCTGACAAAATCCATAAAGGAGGATTCCAAAGGTTGAGCAGTAGCCACAGCTTCCTGACTCCTGAGGAGTTCCTTCAGCAATTAGACCCTCATCAGCTCTGGGTTGCTTTGGGAAGAATCAGCAACTTGGATTCAGAAGGAAGATGAAGGGTCTTGAATTGGAGGACAGGAGGGTGACAGGGTTCAGAATGACTGCTCTGAGCACAGTCAGAACTACTGACCTCTCTGATTTCTTGTGTTTCCTGGAACCACATACCACTGTCTTTCCCGTTACCCTGTAGTAAAGGAGACACCTGCCCGGCGTGCAAAAATGTAGACACAACGTTTTGAGTGCTTTCATATGCCTGGTTTCTTGCTACACTTAGCTTTAGAGCATCCTCTGTGTGGTTCTGTACAATGAGTATTGTGGCTCCTACTTTACAGTAGAGGAATAAAATTCAGAGGCAAGATCTGGACTTTCTGCAGGATCCCACAAGGAAAACTTATTTCAAGCTGGGTGTCTGACTCACTCAGCCAGGCTGCTTCAAACTCTACCTTGTTGGAGCTCTGCTTGTATGAGATACATTTTGAAGCAATCAGGGGCCTATCTCCTTCTGCATGGTACCCAGGAGACACCAACACAGGCACTTAAAGTTTTTATAGCTATTACTTACTTTGTCATCTCCCAGGGAAGCTATGGGATGCGGATTGGACTCCAGGGAGTTGCTGGAAGTACCACTCGATGACCTGGCCCACTTCAGATAATTCTCTTTTTTTATGGTGTATGTTAGGGAGGGGTATGTGTTCATACACTTTAAGATATATCTGGCCTGCAGCCTGAGGGACTGCAGCAGAGGGGGTGGGGTTTTATTTTGACACAGGTTTAGAAAGAGAAATGTATTCATCACTGAAGCGTTTTTTTATCGCGCCTTGCAAGATGCCAGTCCAGGATGATGTGAGTTGGTTGCTCACTGTAACAGTGAGGTTGCAAGGAGCTCTTGATCTTAAGTTGTACTTCTTAATGGATGCTCTCCATCCGTAACTGACTTAAGCAGTTGGGGAAAAAGGCATCTTTCATTGCTGCTGGTATTTCCACTGACTCCTTTGGGGACTCATCAAGGGCTATCACTTCTAAAGTATGATAGGTATGGGAGGCCAGTGGAGAGCTGGGCTTCCTGAATTAAAGGCTCTGTCCTCAGAACCTGTGTTTCCCAGATCACACCAGCCTTGGGAGACTCGGGGAGTTGGGGTGCAGCAGGATCAAGAGATTCAACAGAAGGATGTCTCTTCAGTCTGACACCATGAACTATGGGAAGTTCCAGTCCCCACCCCCACCCCATCCAGGCCCCTGGAGTAGTGAAGGGAATCCCCAGAAGGGATCTCTACTGGGCCTCTCTTTCCAGCTTCAGGGGAGTCTCTGCCCTTCCTTCTTTCCAGGGATGGTTACTATGGTGTCACACTAATGTGACACTACAGAACCAGGTGGCCATGGTCCTTTCTGGTGAATCATACAGTAGCAGACATGGGGATCCCAAGTGTCTGGTCTTGGTGGTTATTGTTTGTGTAAGAACTGCAGTGCCAACTGCCTTTAGGTGGAGCTGAGGAATTTACCTACTGTCTTACCTCTGTTTCAGGCCACAGAGCCAAGCTGTCTTTTCAGTGTCTTACAGTGTGTGGGCGGGTTCAACTTTATCAGATGCTTCCTCTGGGGATCTGGCCCTGGGCTCTGGATGCAACTAAAGCCAGAGGGAAGTGTGAGTTATGCAAACTTTGTTAACCTCAGGATTGCTC